TAAGATCATTGCTATGCAAACCGATTGGGGTGGGGAATACCAATGGTTGAGCTATTTTTTTTGAACGCATTGGCATCACACATCACGTTTCATGCCCCCATGCTCATCAACAGAACGGTTCCACGGAGTGGAAACATAGACACATAGTGGAAGTTGGTGTCTCTCTCTACTTGCTCATGCTTTCATGCTGCTCAAATTTTGGGACAAAGCATTCCTCACGGCAGTCTATCTCATTAATCGCATTCCCAGTAGAGTCATCAAGAACCAAACTCCGCTAGAAAGGCTCTTTGACACTAAACCCAACTATTATTTTCTTCACATTTTTTGTTGTGCCGTCTGGCCAAACTTGCGTCCTTTCAACAAGCATAAACTTGAGTTTAGGTCAAAGCAATGTGCTTTCATGGGATACAGTACCCTTCACAAAGGCTACAAGTGTCTCGATATCGCTTCTGGTCGTGTCTATGTTTCTCGTGACGTCATTTTTGATGAGCAAGTTTTCCCTTTCGCAGATCTCCACTCCAATGTCGGCGCCCAACTTCGCAAGGAATTGCTCCTTTTGCCCTCTCATCTTCTACCGTCTCCTAGTTTTGGTCAAGGGGGGGGGGACTGATTTTGTTGCTGATCATATGCCTATGCCTAATGCCAATAACCTAGCTGAAAGTGTGCAGGAAACAGGGCAGCAAAATACTGAAGTTTTTGGCTAAACTTCTTATGATTTTATGCAGCAAACAGGGAGCTCCATAGAAGATCCGCAGGAGGCCTCGGGATCGGTCGCTACAACGATCCCAGGCGAATCCACCGCGGGATCTATGTCGCCTGGCACGTCAGGCGAATCCTAGCCGGGATCTGCGTTGCCAGGCGGGCGACAAGGCGGGCCAGGCGGGCGCACTGATGCGCTGTCTCCTGGTGGGCCGACCCCTGCGATGTCCCCCGCGTGGGATGGTGCGTGGTCCCCTGGCGGGTCGGCTGGGCGAGGCCCACGTGGCGTCAGCGGGGCGGGGAGCCCGGACTCCTGTGTGGTGCGAATCCCTTCCCATACTGCGCCCACTCTGGAACTGCCAAGTGGCAGTTCGCCATCGGCTGCCGCACCAGATCCGTCTGGTTCTCTGCAGGCAGCGGATTTGAGATCTTCTGCGGCTGTGTCTGCTTCGTCTGACTCCGTCGTGTCATCTACACACAACCTTCTCCAAATATATCAAGCTCGGCCAGCTCCGCCTCCTCCTGCCCGCTCACACACTCGGTCACAAAGTGGTCTTGCCAAACCCAAGGTTTATAATGATGGTTGTGTTCGTTGGGGCTCTTTTTGTGCCACAGGTGAACCGAAGAATCTGTAGGATGCTCTTGGTGATCCCAAGTGGAAACAGGCAATGGATGAAGAATTTTCAGCTCTCGTTGAGAACAAAACATGGCGCTTGGTCCCACCAGTCAGAGGGAGGAACGTAATTGACTGCAAATGGGTGTACAAGGTCAAGCGGAAATCTGATGGCATAATTGACAGGTACAAGGCACGTCTTGTGGCCAAAGGTTTCAAGCAAAGGTACGGAATTGATTATGAGGACACCTTTAGTCCTGTGGTCAAAGCTGCTACTATCAGGTTAATTCTTTCAGTTGCAATATCTAGAAATTGGTGCATGCGACAACTAGATGTAAAGAACGTGTTTTTACACGGTGTTCTAGAAGAAGAGGTTTTTATGAGGCAGCCTCCTGGGTATGAAAGTTCAGCTTTACCACGACATGTCTGCAAGCTTGATAAAGCAATTTATGGTTTGAAACAAGCACCTAGAGCTTGGTATTATCGTCTGTACTCCAAGTTACAGTCTCTCGGTTTTTCTGCTTCCAAGGGAGACACCCTGTTATTCTTTTATCATCGGCATGAAGTCACCATTTTTATGCTTATTTACGTTGATGATATTATTGTCACAAGTTCCTCCTCTAGAGCAGTTGAAGCTCTTCTTAAGGATCTGCGCATGGATTTTGCGCTCAAGGATTTGGGCAGTCTCCATTTTTTTTCTTGGGATTGAGGTAAAGCATGTTGCTAGTGGAATTGTTTTGTCTCAAGAAAAATATGTGCAAGATATCCTTGAGCAAGTGGGCATGAAAGGCTGCAAGCCTTCTCCAACTCCTTTGTCTACTCCAGAGAAATTGTCTCTTCATGACGGAGAGGTGCTTGGAGCTGAGGACTCCACCAGGTACAGGAGTGTTGTAGGAGCTCTGCAGTATTTGACTTTAACCAGACCAGATATTTGTTTCTCAGTCAACAAAGTTTGTCAGTTCCTTCATGCGTCTACTGGTACTCATTGGACAACAGTAAAAAGAATTCTTCGGTATCTCCAGGCAACCAAGAGTCATGGTCTCAAACTTGCTAAGTCAGACTCTACACTTGTTAGTGCTTTTTCAGATGCAGACTGGGCAGGTTGTCCTGATGATTGGCGGTCCACTGGAGACTTTGCAGTGTTCTTTGGTGGTAATTTGATTTCTTGGAGTGCACGTAAGCAAGCTATTGTGTCTAGATCGAGTACAAAAGCTGAGTACAAGGCCTTAGCAAATGCTACTGCTGAGATTATTTGGGTCCAGAATTTATTAACAGAGTTGGGCATTCGTCACTCATCTGCAACGTCATTTTGGTGTGACAATCTTGGTGCTACCTATCTTTCTGCCAATCCTATTTTTCATGCTAAGACGAAGCACATTGAGGTTGATTATCATTTTGTTCGTGAGAGGGTGGCTAACAAGCTTTTGAATATTCTGTTTGTTCCTACTGGTGATCAAGTGACGGATGACTTTACTAAACCACTCTCACTGCGGCAACTGGAGATCTTTAGACGTAATCTCAACTTAGATAGTTGTGATTGAGGGGGTGTTAAACATTGTACATCACGGTGTGTATATAAACCGTGCTAGTTTAGGATGTGGCGTGTGTTGTAATTAGTTACTCCACACCTAACCGAACCCTAACCTTTCTGTAATCTGATCTTACTAGTTAGCTTGAAAATCAATCCACACCTAACCGAACCCTAACCTTTCTGTAATCTTCGCCACATCCTCTCATGCGCTTCCAGCCTCTTTCACACCTCGAGAAGACCAGAGCTGCCACCAGTGCGAGCGTGCCGTCTGATCGACAGGAACCTTCGTGAGCACTAATAATATATATAAATCCGATGCCCCATTGATTCAGGAATCGCGACAACCTGCCGGGCGTCCGACGGCACCGATCCATCACACACACACGATGTCCGGCGAAGACACCGCAGCACCGCAGGTCATGGAGGACCTGCCGAGCGTCGTCAAGCTCCTCAGCGACGGCTCAGTCGTCCGCGGCGACGAAGCCGTGCTCTGGCCAAAGGACCCGTTGCCGGACGTCCCCGGCGTGCAGTGGAAGGACGCCATGTACCACGCGCCGCGCGGCCTTAGCGTCCGCGTGTACAGGCCGTCGCCATCGGTGACGACGGCCGGTGGCCCCAAGCTCCCGGTGCTGGTGTACTTCCACGGCGGTGGCTACTGCATCGGCTCCTTCGCGCAGCCACACTTCCACACCTACTGCCTCCGCGCCGCCGCCGAGCTCCCGGCGGTCGTGCTGTCCGTCCAGTACCGCCTCGCCCCCGAGCACCGCCTCCCCGCGGCCATCGAGGACGGCGCGGCTTTCCTCTCCTGGCTGTGCGGCCAGGCCGAGCTCGGAGTTGGCGCTGACCCGTGGCTCGCTGAAACGGCCGATTTTGGCCGGACGTTCATCTCCGGCGCATCGGCGGGCACCAACCTGGCCCACCACGTCACGGTCCAGGTCGCCTCGGCGCAGCAAGACGTCCACCCGGTGCATATCGCCGGGTACGTCCTCATCTCTGCGTTCTTCGGTGGTGCCAAGCGGACGGCGACGGAGGCTGACCCCCCGGCGGACGTGTCCCTGACGGTCGAGGGATCCGACATGTTTTGGCGCATGTCGCTTCCGGTGGGGACGAACAGGGACCACCCGGTGGCCAACCCGTTCGGCCCGGAGAGCCCCAGCCTTGCGTCCGTGGTGGCGCCGGAGAGCGACGTGCTCCGCGACCGCGTGATGGGGTACGCCGCGAGACTGAGGGAGATGGGGAAGGCCGTGGAGGTGGCCGAATTCGCCGGAGAACAGCACGGGTTCTCTGTCCTCCGGCCGTTCGGCGAGGCAGCCAACGAGCTGATGCGTGTCCTCAAGCGGTTCGTGTACACAGATACCACACGTAATAGTACGTCCCACTGAGTGTTGAAGTGTTTGGTGATCTCCTGATCCTTTTGTGCAAGTCGTTTGATTTTTACTTGCAATAATGTAAATCCAGCCGCACAACCTAACGAACCATTTGATGGAAGAACTGCATTCTGAAAGTGGTCTGAAAAGTGAAAACCGTATGTGAGTTGTTCTGTGCTGTCTCATTAGTGATGTTGTGGATGTGTTGAGATCTTTCGACTTTCTCCAGATTTCATTGAAACTAATATTCCTAAACTATTTCAACACAAAAGGACACGAAAACTAATATAAGCATAATCTTGATTCCTCATGACATAAATAATTTATGAGCAATTCGACTTCCCTAACAGCCGCCGTCGCTTCCTCTAGCTACTGTCACCATCGCTGGTTTAAAATCCCTACCTCGCGTCGACGGAGAGGGGACTGGCTCGGGTGTGGTTATCACGCCGGACGCATTTTGCACAATTCCTCTGCCGATGTGAGGGCTGACTCATCTATCTATGTCAAATTAACAATGGACCCTAGTTGGCAGAACGATGCAAAACATTAAAATGGATAAAACTAGACCAACTTGCGTAACTATGGTATAAAGTAGGACAATTTTTATACTCCTCAAATAGGGCAAGAAATATCCCAAATTGACACTTAGGGAGTAAAATTTGGAATTCACTATGAATAACTTATGGCAGTAAGTGAAAGTAGTTCCAAGTCACTCACATATGACTCCTTCCTCATAAATATGATATCGAAAACAGAAGGTATTTGGAATTCTAAAATAGGGAGCACCAAGTCATATGTGAATGACTCCCTCGGGATGTTCTCTCTTGAGGCGAGCATTCTTCTTCGGTAGAAAGACATCCGACAGGACGGTCTTGGACTTGAGGGAAGCAGCAAATATCTCTAGTGCCTACATTAAAAGAATCCATACATACACAAACACACATAAAAAAAAGTAAATCACCAACTTGAGCAAAACCACCACTTAAAAGTTCAAAGACTCTAAAGAAATTAGAGCACTGCGTACCTCTTCCTTGCCGATCTTCACTGTCTTTTCCTGCAAGGCGCTGAGATCCTTGATGCCCAACAGCGAGATCGTCGCGAAAAAAGAGGCCGAAGTCACGGACAGGTCATCCCCGACAGTGTACATGCCCACAGGTACCGGCGTGGTCCCGTTTTTTCCGGCGGCGACCGTCATAGCCCTGCGCATATAACATTTGCATCTAGGGCAGACTTTGTCATCTATCGCCGATAGATATCCACAGGCTCCACATGTGTAGGTGTCACCGTTGCTGAGTTGTGTGTCCAACAGCTGCTGTAGGAGGGGGAGCGCGGCGGGGTTGACGGCCGGGCTAAGGCACCGCATCTTGCTCTTGTAGTTCGCATCTAGCTTCTCCACGCTGTTGAGCACGTTGCTGATGCTGCCGACCAAGCGCTCCTGTAGTTCAATTCAAACCTTCTGAGTGAGCAACGTTAATTAACAAGAAAACATGCATCTCTGTATCATCGAAAAGAAGTTGATTTTTCCAAGAATTAAAGCAGATGGAGCAATACCATCTTTCTAAACTGTAACACAAAGAGATCTACGTGTGAGCAGAAAATTTCAGATTAGTGGATAATATGAAATGTAACCCACAAGCTACGTACAAATCACCCAACCAATACCACTAGATAAACATTTTTTAACTACCAAGATTTGTTGGAAATTTTATATTTCATTTATTACATGTAAATGGATGCTTTGTGTAATGCATATATACTACTTCCTCCGTCCCAAAATAAGTGTCTCAACTTTATAGTACTAGCTTTCGTACAAAGTTGTACTAAGGTCAAGACATTTATTTTTTGGGACGGAAGGAGTATTAAATGGTTTAGATTGTAAGAGTTTAGACTGGGGCTGAGATTTTAAGAGTTTTTCAACGTGCTTGTATGGATACCTGTTGGATAATGCTAGTGTTGTTAGTGCATGATTGTGTTGTTGTCCTAGTCCATATGATCTAACCCGTTCCTAGCTAGGTTAGTTAGGTACTTCTCACTCATGTACATGGGTATATATAATATTTTTCCCAGTATAAACTCTTACATAGTATCAACCTCTTTCTAATTATTGTGATACTCGTTTCCTCGCTTCCACACGTGCTTACCATGGACAACGCATCTTCCATCTCCTTCGGCGCCAACACCAACCCTCCCCCTCTACCCTTGCGATCCAACATGTGCCCATCCAGCAACATGTTCATGTTGCCCTTGACCTCCATTAATCCAACTACAATATGTGGTACTCCCTATTCATGTCAGTCTTCTGCACATACGGGCTCACCGACCACGTCGAATGCTCTGTCGATGACCGTATGCGCCTCACCGTCATTCATTATATATCTATCAACTCTTGCATCATCAACTAGGTGTATACCCATCTCCTAGGAAATCCTCGACATCATCATGAAGCCTGATGAGACTACGTACTTCCTCTAGCTTGTCGTTCACAACCTCTTCCTCAACAACCGTTCTCATCATGCAATATATGCCCTCCACAAATTATACAATTTCTACCAAGGTGGTCTCTCTATCACATAATAATGCAGCAAGCTAAATCATCTCACGAACACACCATGATGCATGTCGGCTAGAACATCACAAGCCAGGGCCTCGTCCTTAATTTCGTCAGAAACCTCAAGCTATAACTTCAATATGTCTATCACCAGCAATCCCTTGCACGGGTTGTCATCCTTTCTAAATTGTCGTTCCATCCACGTCGAAGCCCATGTTGGCTCGTGTAGTCCTAACAACTCTAGCATTGAATTTTGGGGACAACATGAGTCACCATGGGCGTGGATGCGGAGGGTAGATTCGTCCTCCATTGCGTTGATGTGGGTGATGTTCCGCTCCTCTTGCTCGAGGAAGGAGCGATAGTAGAGGAAGGATGACGGCCCACGCAAGGACATGTTGGTGAAAGACCGACGATTGAAGCCTGATTTTAGGCCAGTGATGACATTGAGGACAACGCTCATCGGTGTGTGGTAGCCGACGATGTTCCGAAGAGTGTCCTCGAGCTACTTTAGCCTGCTACAATATGTCACAATGGAGAAATCACCTTGATAGAGACTATGGAATTTGTGTAGGTCATAGATCTCATGATGAGCACGGTTACCAAGGAAGAGGTTGTGGACGACAATCTGGGCGGAGTAGGTGGTATCATCGGGTCTTAAAATGATGGTGAGGGTCTCCTAGGAGGAGGTGGTGGTGTACACCCAATTGATGATTCATGAGTTGAATGATGTCCAATCGAGATAGGAGAGGCACATGCGGGCATTGGTGGAGTGTCAATGGTGAGCGCATACATGCGGAAGACCATCGTGGATATTCACAATGTGTAGTTGGATTCCTGGAGGTCGAGAATGATGGGAACATGTTGTCAGATTGGAACTTGCTTAATCGCAACGGTGAAGGGTTTAGTGTTTGCACCAGAGGATACGGAAGAGGCGTCGTCCATGGCAAGTAGGTGCAGAAGTGAGGAAATGGGTATCACGCGATTTAGGAAGAGGCGGGTAGAATTTAGACTAGGAAGAAGGTTTTCCACGCTATCAACTGTATTGATGGTGGAGGAATATATACCCATGTAAACGAGTGAGTGGTAGCCAACTATCCTAGCTACAAAAGGGTTAGATTCTAAGGACTAGGACAATAACATTAACTAACAACACTAGTAGCACAACGTGTATATGCAGGTTGACAAAGATATACCAGGTATAATTGAATTTTCTGTTAGGAACGCTAATTGCAAAGATATCCACATAGTATGGAACTTAACTGCACAAAAATTTACACAGTAAAAGACATGGTCATTTGACCTAAAAGACTTAAATCCTAATTTAAGCTTTTGAGGCCTTAGGAGACCATTAAAACCCAGAAATCTCAAGACCAAATATAATTAATTTTAAGCTACAACCTTAGAAACCTAGCACTACATTGACTAACAGCTTGGGCAATTCCAAGATCAGGTTTTCATGCCAATTCTTACACCACATTTGGAATATTTCTTGGTAGAATAGGGCAAACTTCTTCAGTTATAGGGATTTATCTTGTCTTAAACACTCTTCTCTTGTCTTAAACACTCTCTAAGAGCAAGCACGAGAGTGTTTAATAGTGTAGTGTGAAAAAAGGCTTACACTATGGGACGGAGGGAGTAGTTATTAGTTTCTTCCTTTCTTTTTTGTACCAGTAGATGAATGTTGCAGCATAGTGGAAACTAGAACTTTGCTTTGGTACACCCCATAGAAAAGTTTACGGATGTAGATGCAAATTAAAGGTGAAGATTAAAATGTACCTCTTCAATTAAAAAAGGACAATATATTCTTTTGTATCCAAATCAATCTATTTTGTAGAAACTTTAGATTTTAGTAGGAAGATGCAGCAGAAACATGGGGCACAACATATGCAGCATAAACATGGAAGCAGATTTGTAGCACTTGGGTGCTCCACACCCCTATACAAACATTTAATTCAAAAGAGTACTGAGAAATTTGAAAAAAATGGGATTTCGGGATACGAAACCTGTGTTTCCGATCTACTCCCATGTGAAATTTCGTGAAAAAATACCAGGAAACGTATTCGTGGCAAAAAAGAGAAATTTCCTATGTATAGAAAAAAAACTGTTTGGATGGATTTTTGTTCTGACAATATTTCTTTCGCCACGGATACCTTTCCTGGTATTTTTTAACGAAACTTCACACGGGAGTAGATTGGGAACCCAAGTTTCATACCCGAAATTTCAGATTTTTTTGAATTTTTTTGGTATTTTTTGCGTTTTATATTCGTCTAGGGGTGTAGAGCACCCAGGAGCTCCTGCGTATTTTTCGCATAAACATGGGATACAACATATGCAGCAGTAGGAAAAGACGGCACAAACTAGTGCACAAATGAAGCAAGAAAGATAACATATGGAAAATGCAGTACAAAATATACATCACAAAAATGCAATAGAAACTAGAGTAAAGACGCCGCAGAAAAATATTGTAAAGGACTACAATGCAAAAAATACAATACAAAAAAACTCGTGAAAGCATATCATACCGGGGTGTCTAGTTTAAAGTTCCCGTCCAAACAAAAGGCAATGGTCAAAACGTATTTTGATTTGGATATCTTTTGAGAGAAAAAAGACTTTCTGAAGTCTAGAAATGGACTTAAATTGTTGACATAATTTATTTCGGAAGCTAGCGTTTTCCAACCAACATACCAGTGGGCAGTGGCGGAGCGTGACAAAGAACTAAGAGGGGGTCAATTTCAATCTAAAGGAAAAATATGTACGAAAACAAGAGCTGTAGCATGCAGATTGGAGGACCGCGGCAGCAGCAAGCAGCCGGCGCGGTGGCCAGGAGGCCCACGGCGGTTGGCAGACGGCACACTAGGCCGGCTGGTGACAATGGTTGGCTGTCAAAGACCTAGAACTTAATCAGTATGGTCCATGGAGGCGAGTCGGAAGAAGAAGTTTTGGTAGATTATATTCAACAATAAGGAGGAGGGACGAGCGTAACATTGGACGATGGGAGGCTGATCGATGCTTTGGGCTGGGACATTTTCTACACTGGGCTAGACCTGAATGATTACTAGTACTAAATTTTGATTTCCAGTTTTGGAAGGGGGGGTCGTGGCCCCGTTTG